AGAGAGAGGGGGAGAGACTTTTCATTCACTTGTGTACAGGAGGGCATGGGCATGGAGGTCTGCAAATCAAGATTGAAATAAATTTGCTTCATTTGACTAGTTGAAGTGATCTCTTTACTTCAGACTGAATCAAAATTTTCTGATTGAGATTTGAACCTACAGCCCAATCAGTTAACAACAGGCTTAGTTATCACAAAAACTATGAGGGATTACGAGAGATTAGATCTCTTATTTCAATGGACATATCGAAATGGAGACATTGTGATGACTAAAGTTAGGTCTGGTGTAATCAGTTGAGTATAACTTAGTTGTTTATTTTGGTTCTCTCAATGAAATGGTCAACGATTCATCATATTATAAGTGAGAATTATTCTATCTTGTCTCTCTATTTGGGAGTCTCTACTCTATTATTTTTTCAGGTCTCTTTTGTAACTCATTGTAATAGTGATTTATTTGGACTGAACTCACTTTATATTTTTTTAAGGTGGGTCTCTAGTTGGGGGAAGAAATTGATCATTCATGGAGAGAGAGAGAGGGGGAGAGACTTTTCATTCACTTGTGTACAGGAGGGCATGGGCATGGAGGTCTGCAAATCAAGATTGAAATAAATTTGCTTCATTTGACTAGTTGAAGTGATCTCTTTACTTCAGACTGAATCAAAATTTTCTGATTGAGATTTGAACCTACAGCCCAATCAGTTAACAACAGGCTTAGTTATCACAAAAACTATGAGGGATTACGAGAGATTAGATCTCTTATTTCAATGGACATATCGAAATGGAGACATTGTGATGACTAAAGTTAGGTCTGGTGTAATCAGTTGAGTATAACTTAGTTGTTTATTTTGGTTCTCTCAATGAAATGGTCAACGATTCATCATATTATAAGTGAGAATTATTCTATCTTGTCTCTCTATTTGGGAGTCTCTACTCTATTATTTTTTCAGGTCTCTTTTGTAACTCATTGTAATAGTGATTTATTTGGACTGAACTCACTTTATATTTTTTTAAGGTGGGTCTCTAGTTGGGGGAAGAAATTGATCATTCATGGAGAGAGAGAGAGGGGGAGAGACTTTTCATTCACTTGTGTACAGGAGGACATGGGCATGGAGGTCAGCAAATCAAGATTGAAATAAATTTGCTTCATTTGACTAGTTGAAGTGATCTCTTTAGTTCAGACTGAATCAAATTTTTCTGACTGGAATTTGAATTTACAACCCAATCAGTTAACAAGAAACTCAGTTATCACAAAAACTATGAGGGATAACGAGAGATTAGATCTCTTATTTCAATGGACAGATCAAAATGGGGACATTGTGATGACTAAAGTCAAGTCTGGTATAACCAATTGAATCTAACTTTGGTTATCTTGACTCTCTCAATGAGGTGGTCAAGGATTCATCATATCATAAGTGAGAATTATTTTTTGTTGTCTCTCTATTTGGGAGCCTCCACCCTACTATCCTTTCAGGTCTCTTTTATATCTGATTGTAATAGTGATTTGCTTGGACTGAACTCTAAAATAGTTCACTTAGACTTCACTGTAATAGTGATTCACCATTGATTGTAAAACAAAAAAGTCAACTTGGATTTGCGTCAGTAACCCGATTCATAACACAAAAATACCCACTAAATACGTATCAAAATATTAGTTGATTCGGGTATTCACCAACAAACTTTGAAGTTCAAACCATTTAGTAGGGTTTGAGCATATCCAAGTTGTTAATTACTCAGTGACTCAACCCAACAGTAAAAATAAATTATTTCTTTTCAAGAAAAAAAAAGAAAAGAATGATAGGAAACAATGTGCTATAAAGTGTGATATTTCAAATATTATTGCAAAAAAAAAAAAGAAAAAGATCAGGGCATTAAGATGGTTGATGGGCATAACATCAATAGTCTTGCCAAACTGGAAAGAGGTGTGGGTCTTCTTTTTGTGGAAGAGAGTGTCTCTTTAGGAAGGCTATTCTACTGGGGGGATGGGCATTTCTTCATATCAGAACTGACAATGGCCCTGCCAAATAGTTCCACTCATAAATTCATTGTCACCTCAGTGCCCACCTACGTAACTCTAGGAAGATGTCAACAACCTTGAGATCAACAAAATATTGTGGAAGACATGGTAGTAATTGCTTGGCTTGTGGTCACCCATTTCTATTGTCTTCAACCTCCATGGGAGCACAGAGGGCTCACGGCTACCCCCATGATTCCCCATTCACTAGACTGGATTTTGTGATTCATGCACTTGTTGTTTTCGACGCGACATGAATTTAGAATTAGCATAGCTCAGTACATCAAAAAAATAAGGAAATCACATTAATATTTCACACCAATAACCTGATTTTACCACGACAAGTCATTCAAGTGATATTTATATATGGAAAAAGTGGGTATTTCCATTTTTTTTTCTATTTCTATATGAATTATTTTAATTGGTTTTACTAGTATCTGTATCAAGTCGATTTTCATTTCGTGGGAGACTTCGGCAGCTGTTGGATTAGTGTACTATGAGAACACAACACGAGAAATACACATGTTATAGACCCTACATAGTCCTTACCCAAATTTTTATTCAAATTTGAGTAAAAAAAAAAAAGATAAAAACTTTTTTTATTATAGACCTCTCAAATGGATAAACCATTTTTTGCACTCAAATCTTTTTAAAAAATTCCCATGTTATCCTAATAACTCTTTTTTTTACACTAAATATATATATATATATATGTGTGTGTGTGTGTGTGTAGATTTCTATATGTACAGATTTTTAACCACTAGATTTTTGGGTCTAAAAAAAATTAAGAAGTAGATGTGATGCTCTGAGGTGAGTACCAATTTATCTGACACAAATAATTAAATAAATCTACTTATTATTAACTAAAATCCAACATTAATCCGAAATGATNAAAATTAAGAAGTAGATGTGATGCTCTGAGGTGAGTACCAATTTATCTGACACAAATAATTAAATAAATCTACTTATTATTAACTAAAATCCAACATTAATCCGAAATGATACAATCCAAACACAACACAACAAACATGATTCCATTGACAGTACCTCTAATCAACTGTCCAGCACATTATCTATTCCTATTCATTTCATTTTGGGTCTGGGTCTCGTCAATCATACATACTGATTACTTAGTTATAACAAACATTCCTTTTCCAACCCTATGCCAAACAAATATAGCCACCACAATCTCCGTCAGACAAGGGGACTTGGGAAAATGAAAAAAAAAAATTCAGAATCTTTCATTTTTTTTCTTTCACGCATATATACAAACACAAAGCACGCACATAACAGTCTCAAAATATGTTGGAATTGCTTCATTTAGGGTAGATGCATGAGTTCAATTCCATAGACTAGAACATGCATGCTTTGGGGGCATGTTAGTGGCCTCTTCGTAGAGAACAAAGCTCGAGTGTACTATCTCAGAAACCAGACATCTTGGGTGTGTCTGTCAGTTTCACATGAAGGGCTGTCACCACCCAAAGCTACCTATTTTATGGGAGGGGTTAGGCCAAGTCACAAACTCGACTCGATCCACCACTTCTTGATTAATTACATCCAAATTTATACTTATTATCATGATTTTTAGTTACCCAATTTATCTTACATAATTACCCTTATTGAACAAATGCAAACCTAAAGTCCAAAAACTACTATTTTTAGGGGGGTGGGGAGGGAGGGATGTTGATGGCAGTTTAAAATTTGCATCTTTTTCTTTCTAAAAATCAAAAAATTGCACAATGCACTATGAATTTCTCAGAATGGTAATAATATATGCTTAACAAGGAAATAATGTTTATATTAACTAATTTCATTCTTTTTTCCTTTTCTTGGAATTGAACTATTTTTTCTCTTGTAAAAAATTTATTGTATCTGAGACATTGGATGTCAGCTAACGGAAATAAATTGAGAATGTTTAAGGAGAAGAAACGACGTTTACCCTTCATCGAAAAGATGAATCGTGAGACTCTAAAACTTAAAAACATGACCTAATAACTACGTAATGTTTGAAGATATGTCCGTAAAAATATCATATATAATATCATTTTTTAATTTAAATATGCATGTAAGATGGACCCCTTAAAGCTATCATTCACCCATTATTGTTAAGATGGACCTTGAGAGCTATGTGCCTGCCTCATCCACCAAACATAGGTCTATTCAGAGGCCTTGGTGTCCACATGCTTTTGGCAGATGTTACAAAACATGAGGTTCCCTTAATTGACAAAGGCTAGGAGACATGCTAGAAGGAGGCTGCTTCCACCAACCACCCATATGCTATGTATATTACCAAAGAACATTAGAAGGTTGTCAAATCTATGACAAGCGCTATCCATGGATCCATAAGTTCGCTTGTTTGATATGATCTTGATTGTTCACTCCTGAAGAGCACCTGACCCACATGGGTCATAGTTATTCTACGAGATCTAAATATAGATTTATATCGATTCCCGATTGTATACGTATTTTTTTATTCTATTTAAATTTTTTGATACTATATCAAAAATTCTATTCAATTGGATTAATTTTTGATTCAAACATGATAAAATACAAATCAATGAAGTTGATTTGTGATCGATATAAAAAAGATAGGATCCATCTCAAGTTTTTAAATTAATCCCAAGTTTTTTCAAATCTATGATTATTGGCTTGGATCTTNATATCAATGAAGTTGATTTGTGATCGATATAAAAAAGATAGGATCCATCTTAAGTTTTTAAATTAATCCCAAGTTTTTTCAAATCTATGATTATTGGCTTGGATCTTGTTAAATTATAAATTTTTAGTTATATTACTATCTTTCAGTTGGTTAACCGGTGGCCAACAGATCATTTAAAGCAAAAAATATGTATGCCCCATACTGTTTATGATTATTAATTGCAGTTTAAGTCATGTTTCGTACATGATCATAGGTTTCTCGTGTCATACATCCATCTTCGACTAGACTCGATTTATAGACAAAAGAACTGGAAACCGGAAACATGCATTGACTACTCAATGCCATGCATCATCCTGAGCATGATGAGGAACTCATGAACATCTTCTGGACATGGAAGAACTTTGGAAACAGATTCTCTCTCCATGCATCTCTTCATCCAAGCTGCAAATTTGGGACAGTGATCCTCAACCTTAAATCCCCCGAATTTTTCATAGGTACAGAACCTAGAGGCCACAGAGATGGCTATGATGTCCACAAATCCAAAGTTATCACCACCAAAATAATCTTTCTCCCCCAAAGCTCCCTCTAGTACCTTCAAAATCTCAATAAACTCTTTGTTCGCGACGTCTTTCTCTTCTTTTTTGCTCATCCATATTTTGCTAGACGCTTCAAATACCTATACAATAAACATAACTTACTCAGGTTTGGTAAATAAGATTGAAATTATAAAATAAATTTGTCACATTCATGTAACAATGTATAGAATGCGTAACATTCATAATAATGTAATAAATTGGAAAAAAGGTTTCTGAATAATTTATAGTTGTTCATGATCATGATCTTACAATTATGATGTTGATTATAATGATCATGACCGAAAACAAGATAAAGAGTGATAAAAAAAACAACATAGAAACGACCAATGTACTAGCCAATGATCCCTATATTGCGAACAATGTATTGAAAAAGATAGTTATTAAATCATCAAGAAACAAAGCAATGAAATAGAAATCCTAAATTAACCTTTTTGTCGATGAAGTTGGCCCAGAATCGAGCCCGGGACCTTGCATATGGACAAGATGGGAGCAAGGGTGGTGAAGGCCAAGTCTCGTCAATGTAGTAGACTATGTTAGTGGACTCACAAATGGGTTTGCCATTGTGTAACAGCACAGGCACTTTCTGGTAAACTGGGTTTGATCTGATCAGTGACCGACTCTTGCCCAGATGCAGGTCTTCCTCTTGATTTACATAGGCCACACCTTTCTCGGCCAATGCCATTTTGACCCGAATGCAGAATGGGCTAACCCAGAAATCTAAGAGAACGACATCGTGTTTCGACATTTTTGCTTTGATCTCTCTTTCTTCTTTGTTCAATGGTAATGGAATGCGTGAAAAAAGACTGGTCTTTATGCAGAAAAGCTAGCCAACAACTAGATTTGAAATTCCTATGGAGTTTGTTTGGTTGCTCCAACCAAAAGAGTCTTGATATTGTCACTCCTGCCTTGTTCTTTGGTAACTCTGGTGGCGTTGGCAGAGTATTACTAGGAAGCATGGAGCTTAATGCCGGCAACACAATATGAAAACAATGTTGATTGCTGCTGTGCATACAGACAGCAGCCTTCTAAAGCATATTCGGACGGGTTGTTATTTTAAATTTGTATCTTGTTCATGACATTTTGTATATGAACTGGAAATCACAGGACTAATACCCATTTCTTTCTCAACTTAATCCACGAAAGACCCACTTGATGCAAATCCTAACAAAACCAAATCAAAATCCATTCAATTCTAAAACAATATATACAATATCCAAGGTTTTTTTTTTTAAAAAAAAAAAACCCATTCATTTAATTTCCACCATACCAATTAAACTAATTATTTGTGACTAACACTAAACAGATCTATTCGCTATTTGTTATGATGGATTGTATCATTTTCAAATTCGTGCGGTGTTGTGTTAACGATTAAAAATTGACACCAGAAATGATGCCACTCCCCCCCCCCCCCCCCCCCCCCCCCAAAAAAAAAAAAGTCCAGATGTGGCAATTTCAAGCCAAGAGCTGTAAGACATTCAAAACCACCTCTCTAGCAGCTTCTGATTAGGAATAATGAAATAGAATTTAATTTTACAAGTGTTTATTAATGAAGCCGAAAGGGATGAAGAAACTGATTCACTGATAATTCAGTTCTTTCTATACAATCCTGTACATCAAAGGAATATACCTATAAACCTTGAATAATCACCATGTCCCTTTAATGATGGGGGTGACATATGAGAAATTCCAATGGTTAGATGGCAATTGACTCTGGAACTTTTATGTAAACACATATATGAAGAAAATGCTCGGGGTTTCTCAAATTATTCACCACCCAAGCAAAAGGAATCTCCAATTTTGGCTCTATTCCCTGAATACGGACAAGTTTGATCTCAGCATTGTCTGATTGGCAGCCGGAGTCCACACATTGAGACAATGTTTCTCCAGTCTCTTCGGAGCTTCTTTTGCTGCTTGACGCTTCTGAGGGTACTCTATGTTCATCCTCACCTGCTCTGGATAACTCCTCATTAATCAACAAATTGTCTGCAAAAAACTCTGGCAAAAGAGCTTTTACTGCATCACGCAAGGTGAACCATTTGCCTGCAGTTTCAAAGACATGTAAGTTGGTTGGTGCACCACACGACACGAAGGAAAAAGAAAATGATAAAAACAAGAGGGTAGTTTTGAGAAGCTTTGAAAACAGAATGGGAGCACCAATAGATATAGATGGCGTAAACAGTAATGTGTCTCAAAGCATCCGGGCTAGACAAATCACAAACCACCCCAAACATATGTTTACCGTGTCAAAACCATCGTGACCAGATGATTTTTTAATATTTCCATCTGCAATCAATTCTTTCAAAAAGTGAAGCACCAGCCATGGTAAACTGTTAACCTCAGATGTCTATAACAATTCAAAACCCACCATTTTAACATGAATTGCTATGGTGTGCATAAAAAAATTGCTCAAAAAAGAGTTTTCTATCATTCATAACGAGGGTCATGAGGTAAAAAAGTGTTATTAAACACAACTCTGACATATTCTGGCTAAAAGAACTGAGGCTTGTAATCAAGCACAAGGCATCAACTTTTTCATGAATGTTAACTTATAGTGATTATTGATTGGTAATAAATCCCACACTTGGCCACACCTTTACCATAAGGCCAAGGCACCAATTGCATAAGAGAATTCACTGTAAAAACAAGAAAATTTAAATTAAAGGAAAGAGGGAGGGTGAAAAGGGGTCCAGGAGAAGTTGTAGGATTCCAATAAGGAAATCGCATGGACCAAGTCCTAAACTAAGTCTGTCTGTGGTTGAAGTGGAAGATTAGAAGGAAACAAAGCATGTGGATAAACCATAAAGTCCTCCAATCAATAGGCTATACCGGATATCAATATTTCTTCTCTAAATTTCACAACATAATAAAGAGCCAAGTATCTCCTGTGCAATGGTAAAAAGTTTTTCACATCACAATCCAATGGATACAACACATTAGGAAAACTGAAAATAAGCAGTTGTGTTCACCAAGCCCACAACATCTCGCAAGACATTCATTCCAGGAAAAAGGAAACAGCGCATATTTCGGCTTACCTTCTCCTTGAATCTCAACAGGTCGATTTATGTAAGAAATTTTGTCCCAATCGTCAATATTAGGTGCATCTTCTAAATCTTCAAAGTCCTCATTGACACACCGAACGTACAGCCGAACTGGAATTCTGCCTGCCCAGAACACAAAGCCAAAACAACCAAATTTATGAGCTCAGTACAAAGAATTTGGGAAGCAACCTTAATAAGGGCATGCTCATTCACCTAAATTCTCAAAGGAAGGTAAATGCCATATGCATTTCTGCTATAGTAAAAGTTTTAGAGCCATAATATATTCATTCGACTCAGATAGCAAAACCTGGACAAAACTCATGATAATTGTTGTGGGCATGTCATACTGACTGGCTTAAGTGCTACTAGGTAATTTATAGAACATCAGTAATTACAAGCTTGCCAGCAAAATCATTGTACACAAGCATAAATTTTACTGCCTTTAGGACTGTTTTGGTCAAAATTTCTCATTTTGGAAACAGACCTGAAACAAAAGCTCCTAGGTACAACCAACTAGGGACTCTGCAGTTCTAGCCAAGATGATCTCCTTAAAGGTCATTTCCAAGACGAATTTGTTGGGAATCTTAGCGTACATATACATATAGACGCTCTAGCATATATTTTTTCAGGACATACACAGAAGGTCACTACCCAGACTTCATCCTGCCAATCGGAAATGCTCAGAGGGATAGACCAAATGTAGACCTAACCTTAAGCTTTAAGGGTCATTGCCTGTTGCAATGGTAGAAAAGCCAAGCCAAACGACATTTAAGTTGTGCATTCAAATCTCATAGGAGCAACTTTGTGCACAAATCTATAATAATAAAACAGTGTCTCTTGCTTAAGCTCCTTAGTTAGAAAAGTACAACAATGGTCCAGATCGTTTAGATCCAATGGCTTATATTACGACTTAAATTTTAACCTTTTAACCACAATAACTCAACCAATATATTAAAAAAAACGTGCTTGCATGGGGGCACGAGGACACAGAGGGACCAAAGCTAGCTAAGGACTCTTTTTTAGCCACTCTTGAAACTTTTCACTCCTGTTAAACAAACAATCTACTCTAAAAGCTTAAACTATTAAAGAGCGTGTAACTCAAATATTTATACGTCAACACGCCTCCTTACATGTAGCCTAGACTTGGGGCCTAGCATATGAAATTTTTTTTAATAATTAGGGTGTCAATAAGATTTAAATACAGGATCTTCTGATCTAATACCATGTTAAACAACCATCTACTCCAAAAGCTTAAGTTATTGACGAGGGCGTAACTTAAATATTTATATTTCGCCAACATCTCCAAAACATAACACAAATGAATAAAAAAATTAGAATTTTATTTTCAAAATATTCTGAATGGTCAATATACCAAAACATATTGCAATACCTCAAAATATTTCAAAACAATGGTGGAAATATGTCAAAATATCTCAAAACACCTTGAGGTATTGTAATTTCAAATTCATCATTGATTCGTTTCAATTTCCCCGAAACATTTCAAAACACATTGAAATGTTTTGGACCGACCGTTTCGAAATAAAATTNCGATTTCCGCGAAACATTTCAAAACACATTGAAATGTTTTGGACCGACCGTTTCGAAATAAAATTTTGATTCTTAGGCTCACCACAAAAGATCTATCTAATGTTAATAAGCATGTACATCAGAATCACACGGAAGCACTACTATGCTCCCGAATTGCACATTCAAAAAAAGATTCTTACATATGATATAGTTCCATTCTAGAGAGGAAGTTAGGTGATTCAAAGGTTTTAACATGAATGTATGCCATCTGATCATTTATCATGAACAACTGGAGAACTAGTGCATCCTAAATATCTTTTGTGTCATTGGACATCAACCTTTGGAAAGAAAACCTAATTTTTTGAAGTTCCTCAATATATTCTCTACCTATTCATATATCCTACTTGCGGTGTAAAAAGGTCATAACAGGTGCACACCATTCCCGATGTCACGGGGTCAATTTCTAACTCAAATTTTTGCCACGTGATGACATTGAGATCCTCACTCAATCTCAACCAATATACTTAAAACGCTCACAGAAATATACACAATGAACAGAATTTAGGCACAACAAGCAAACACAACACACACAAGGCTAATGGTCCAACTTTTTTATGTCTCAACAAAGCATAAAGAAACACTCAGCCAAGGGTCTACTTACAAAAACGCGTCTAACTCTCTTAGTTGCACTACAGACCCAAGCATGCCTATTTAAAGCATTCAAAGTGGCGATTACAAGCCCAACCGCCTAGGCAACTACAAAGCTACACCAGTTTTGCCCACAAAGCCACCCACAATCTGCTAATGATGGTTGAGTTCCTCTGCCACTCCCTCGTCTACTGGTCATGGTAAGGGAGCAGTTTCAACTGTTGGCTGAGCTAGCAAACAACAGCCCTCAACTTTTGTGTTGAGTGCACATGTTAGCAACCCTCATGTTGTGCAAATGCCAACCCTCATGTTGTGCACACTGCACAATACCGCCCCTGCATGCTATGCACATCACCATCTGCAGTGCACATGTCATAACTGTTTGGCACCGCCTCACATGTCGTGCACCTGCCTTCCTTACGAGCTGACAACTCCTGATTAGCCATGCCTTCGTGCCTAGCCGTGCCCAGCCCATAATTTGGTCTTTCAAGCTAACAATGTCCCACAAATTAAGCCACCCAACTGAACTTGTTTGCATGCTTGCTTGAGCCCAACGTACCCATGTATGAGCTGTCTCACCTAGTCATGCATGAGTCTTCAATTTACCCACTGATTGTGTCCAATCGTACCCATGCACCCAGCCATGCATGGGGCTTCAATTAACTCGTTGATTGTGCCCATGCATGAGCTGCCATCCTCAAGCATGCATGGGGCTTCCGCCAACGACCGTTCCTTTCGATCATCGACCTGCATTTCGGGTCTCAGACTTTGGAATGCCTTGCCTCCACTCATGGCAAGCATTTGTTGGGGATGTGCCTTGTTTCCATATGCCAAGGCTTAGGGGTATAGGGCTCCCTAGGGAAGTTGGTCTGGCACCCCTTCGCAGATCCCCCCCCCCCCCCAAGAATTGCGTTATGAAGCAAAAATACAGAGACAACACTAGACGTACTCTGAACTGAGGAGTCATAATAATCTAAGCCTAGGGCATAGTCGCTGCATGCCGATCGAGCCTTTACCAAACTATTTTATCCCAACAAAATACAAGTTCAAGTCCTTTAGGAAGCATTTTTGCACCAAAGGTTTGCTTCTTCAAGTGAAACCCAATTTAGCTATGGCATGGGCGCCTTTGGGCGAGGCTGCCCCATGCCAATCCTGAGCCAAAAGTTCGGGGTTACTTGTACGAGAATATGGATGTTCTAACTAACACAGATCAAACACCAATTACTTATTTTATTCACAATTAGGGAAGATTAGCATTTCATAAGGTCAATGCCCTCAAATGTCAAAGCAGAAATCCAAGTAATGGCAAGGGAGGTCCCTGCACATTATACCACCTTGCCAGAACAAGCATTCAATTGAACAGTCAATTTTAGTTGATGACTACCACAAAAGGTAAATGCAAAAGAATGCTTTCTAGTACATTATTCAAGAGGACCAACAGTGTATGTCTTGAAACAGTGCTTAAATTATACTCACCTGTTTTGACTGGTCCACTAGGATCTGTGTCAGTAGCACTTTGTTGAGAATTTAGAGCCGATGAATTCAATTTCACTGAAAACTCATCTTCAACTATACCAAGTTTAAGCTTAGATGATATCCGGAGGTAAGCTTCCAAGTTACCTGCCACAGAATTTGATTTGGAAACTGGGAATGTGATCAAATTAAACATGCTTATGAAAGAAGATTCACAATGCATCATGTTGCAAACTAAAATGAGATATTATGAGATATGAATGGATCATTTAGGCTTGTTACCTACAACTATGCATATTTACTAAATCAAAATAAGATAACTTCCCAAGAGAAATTTCCAGAAAAGCTATGAAGGGCCAACGAGCAAAATAGAGAAAAAATAGAGAGAAGAACCAAAGGAAAAAACTACAAGAAAGGCAGTATAATATGCCAAAAACTAAGCCGTCCATACATAAGCATATATTTATAGGTTGTTCGAATAAAAACTACATTAAAATACAACTAAACATATTCCAAATCCTGAATTAAGAAAATAAAATAACTCCTAAAATTTAATTCTAAAGCAAAAAAAAATTTCTCATCCAATTTCTCTAGTTCCTTGTCAAAAAGTAAGGTACGGGCATTTTAGTCCAACTCAGGGCGGGACTATACTATTTCATGTCCCTTCTGTAACTGTAATATAGTGTCCAGTAAAACGAAGTAAATAATATGCATCTGCTATACACCATAATTATTTAACATTAGTTTTAGTACTGAGCCTCAAAACAAAGTTTGATACGCATTACTGAACTTTTACATACAAGAGATGGAATGCATAGTAGATTTCAGAGCAAGTAAAAACCACTAAACCAGAAATACACCATTGACAGATTAAGTTCATGCAGTTATAAACTCATGGTTCTTACTGAAGAGCACAACATATGTTATGTTCTCATGAAATGCAACCAAAAGCTCCAGATACTGGCACCTTCATTGACGGCATCAATGAGAGACATAAACAAAAGCAAGCAAAAGGAAAAAAGTTAAAAGACATCAAAAATGGATCATTAAATAGGCATACCATTCAAGACAGAGCGCCAAAGCTCCAACTGATCAGCTTGAGACATGTTCATAATGTTCTTGCAGTTCCCATTGATTATGTATGCTGCCTGTAGATTGTTTTGAGTATCGTAAGAAGAAGGTAACTAGTCTAATCAACATTAATCTTCATCTATACCCACTTCCACAACAAAAAAGTCTCAATCTCCCTCCAGGACATGAAAATAAGAACCTTACAACAGAGGGAAAAGGGAACAAAGGAATGAGCTATTCCATGAACAGCTACTAAGGGCCTGCTACACAGGCGATATTTCATGTGCATAAGATCATCTTGTTTTTCATTTTTGCATTTGAATTGGAGAAGGGGAACAGTTGGCGGTCAATGTTAGGTTTTTCTAACATTGAAACAAAAGATCAATATGAAATTCAGATGACAAGAACAAATGCATTTATGACCTTAAGTATTATGTATGTGTACAGGAGATTGCCAATATGTCCCACAGCAGGGTGACATCAGTTGTCTTTGATTATAAGGACGAATACGGTTGCATCTTTGCCTATTTAAGAGATAGATAGGGGGCTGATTTCAATCATTCTATCAATTCTTTCTTTAACTCATTTCTTCCAAGAAAGCAACGAATAAGTTTTAAGTGTTGACACTCTTTTTAGTGGCAAGTCTGCAGTTTTCAAGAGAAGAATAGGGAAGTGAGATTCTTGTCAAGAAAATTCAAGTCTACTTTTAACAGGTAGTTACTTCGGCAAAACCGAATTAGGAAACATCTATGGATATCACTGATTTACCATATGCATGTGCTCTTATCTAACTACGAACGAATCTTCTAGGTATATGCAAACATATATATTATTGAGGCCCTTTTAAAAGCATTCAGAGACACACTCAACCTTTGGCCCATTTCACCATCGAGGTTGATTGACTTGATTCTTCCATTGAGATATGCTTACAGCCCACCTGCTGAGGCTACTCTACAAGGAAACCATTCCAATCTTTCCTTCCTTAACATACGATCAACAATTACACAATGGACACAAAAAAATACTATGGCAATCATTTTTCCCTATGGTTTACTTCTACATCAACTTTTTATTAAACTTGCATTCCATCCATCAAAGAAAAGGAGAAGGATCTTCTTCAATGGATCCCTCTAGTTCCTATTCAGTCCCCTACTACCCTTCCCATCGGAAGTTCTAACTTACTATTAAACTACACTCCAATTTCATAGTTTCAACAACACACCGTAGAGAACATAACAGATGGCAAGCATGCATGATAAGATAGGTGTGTTTTAACATAGCATAAAACTAAACACAACCCCTGCCCAATAGCTAAAGAAACAGTATTTGTGTCTTTAGTAACAGCCAGTTCAAAAGAAATTACACGAGTAAGCCTTTCATACACAGGCATCACCTTCTCACGATTTCCTATAAGTAGTTTTGTACTAATCACAAAAATAAGTGACACAACAACTACTTAACTGAATACCCTCATAGATCCCTGGGAAAAGAAAAGAGTACTAAAAGCATAGAGAAACAATTATACCTAACCTCTTTTAATGAATTGATAAAGCTCCATTTTACACTATCTTCACTTTCACAAGGGGTCAATATATTACCTGGATATCCCCTAAAATGTACCTGCAAAGTTTGCTCAACTGAGTCTCAAGCAGAAGATTACTGAAGATATATAACAAATTATAGAACAGATTATTCCATCAATAACCAGGTAAGAGATTATGTATTGCCTTACAGTCCAAGTCATCTAAGGCCCTCAGGCCCGCTTCAACATGGTTAACTAACCACTAAAACAAAGATGCCAGTAACTGCATCTTTCTTTGATATTTGATAACTACAAGATCACATCCAAATTATCTTTGATGATGCCCTTTGTTCACTAACCAATATGTCAATATGTAGACTCTCCCCCATAACAAAAATGACTATTCAATACAGATAGTTCTACACAACTCCCAACATTTATGAACTTGTATATTTCCAAAAGTCATACACATCCAAGCATACAAAGGCACTAGTTCTAAATTTTGGGAATTGCAATGTGCAACACCAATACTGGCATTACAATACAACATTCTATAGTCATAGATGAATAGAATAACGGGGTGGCTCAATGAGCCTACCACCACTGCGGGATCTAGGGATCGTAAAATCTAGAGAGGGTTAGATGTACACAGTCTTACCTCCACAAGGGAAGAGACTGTTTTCGTTATTTGATCCTTTGATGCCTAGGTAAAAATGGGGCCACCTTCCCGTTGTGCAAAGGGCAACCCTATCATACATGAATAGGAGGTGCAACACATGTGATGGGGATCGTGTAGGAATTGGATAAATATTATAGATTAATTATGATAGTTATTTAGATACTTTTAATATTTAACTTTTAAGTAATTTTTTTTTTTTGGATACGAATCGAAGTTGGGCTCTGATACCAAATTGATGTAGATCGTATTAGAGAAGAATTAGGGATGAGAAGAGAAGAGAAGAGAAGAAAAAAAAGATGAGAAAAGAGAGAATTTTAAGAAGAAAATTCAATATCAACAATCAATAATCAAAATCTAGTCCCTCAACAAATATGTATCCCCTATATATATAAGGAATTCATAAATTCTATATATATAAGGAGATCACAAACCCTAAAATAAATAAATAATCAAAATGACAACTAAACCCTTAAAAGTTAAAAGAAATTACTTAAAAGCTAAATATTAAAAGTATCTAAATAACTATCATAATTAATCTATAATATCTATCCAATTCCTATATGATCCCCAAATTGATGTAAATCGTAATAACTTTGATACCAAATTGATGTAGATTGTATTAAGGAAGAATTAGAGATGAGAAGAGAAGAAAAAATAGATGAGAAAAGAGAGAATTTTAGGAAAAAAATTCAATATCAATAATCAATAATCAAAGTCTAATCGCTCAATAAATATGTATCCCCTATAAATATAAAGAATTCACAAATCCTATATATATAAGGAGATCACAAACCCTAAAATAAATAAATAATCAAAATGATAGCTAAACCCTTAAAAGTTAAAAGAAATTACTTAAAAGCTAAATATTAAAAGTATCTAAATAACTATCATAATTAATCTATAATATCTATCTAATTCCTACACGATCTCCATTATTCTCTTCCGGGTGAAAAAAACTCTCCTTCGGAGAGTCTTCAAAGTAGAAGTACCCCAAGAGAGCAGGATGAAGATGACATAATACCTCATATAGAATGAAAGAACCATCAACTTCTTTCCATCGATCAGAATAAATGCAAGAATCTCCATCTATATGAACACCTGTGAATAAAATAGGAGGTTCTAGAGTACCTCTAAAATTTTTGGGGATGATTTTGTAATTTTTGAAACTTCTGGGGGAAAGATTCTGCAATTTCTATAACTTCTGGATTGATGTTTCTATAATTCTGAAACTTCTTGTGGTAGTTCTGCAACTTTTGAAACTTTCTATAGTGTTTCTGTAATTTCTAGAACAACTGGGATGTTGCTGTAATTTTCTAAATCTGCTGGACAGTTTTTCTTGATTATGATATGCATACTCCCATGAAATTTGAAACTAATATTTTTATTCATTAAAAAATTAGAGAATTTATAAAGGATCCAAAAAATATTTTCTTCTATTTAAGTTTTCTTACTTCTCGTAATTATTAATTGCATCCTTGAACTCATTGTTATGTTATTCTCATCTTTCAAAGTCAATCATGAGTTCATATGATCATTATGATGCCTATTCATATACTTATCCAACATCAAGAATGTCTCAAGTTCATAATTCTCCACAACGTCATCACTATATCTATTCCACTCCTAGAGCTTCTCGGAGTCATCATAAAGTCCAATATAAGTTTGATTTATTATGAAGAGTATCTAGAATACTACTCTGGGACACTTAGATCACATAACAGGTACCAACGTCATGCTTCCCAAAGTCATCATCAAGGTCAATCTGGATCAATCTTCAATATTATTAGTAACCATTCAAAAGCCCAAACTGCCCTAGGAAAAAAGGTTGAGATCTTTGAAATTGAAGTTGTCAATACTAAACATTCAATCAGCCAATTACGTGAAGAATGTAGAAGGGTGAAAAATTAATTATCTGAATTAACAAATCAACTTTCCCACTTGAATAAAATTCTTGCAAGTCAACAAATGGAAGAAAATAAGGACAAGTCTCCAGTTTCACCTAATGTCGGACACTCGCATAATGATAGCTATATTTTTGTTCCATTGGACCCTCATGCTTTACATCCTTCAAAACATACTTTCAATCATTTGAGCATTGATACTAGTGATGAGATTATTTTTGATCCTATCATGTTTCCTACCTCATCGGTGCCAAAAGTTGAATCATCACTAAACATTGAACTTGAGAAAAAATTCATTCAGTTAGTTCCTATGCAAGATGTTGAGCATATTAAGCTATCTATTTTATAATCTATTGGCAATTATTCTATGTCTACTATTCTGAATCATGATGGCATTGTTGTGGATTCTTCTTCATTTGATATTGTTGATTTTGTTTCGGATTCTTCTCCACCAGAGATTGTTGACATTGTTCTACATTCTGCCCCACTTGAGATTGTTAACTTTGATTTTTTGCCTGTCAAGTGTTCAATTGAATCTGTACTTTCTTATTTTCAGCATCAGGGTGTTATAATTACTCCTTTGTCATTGATGTCTTGTCCCGTTGAATGTCAGTTGTTCAAATATAATGGAAATTGTTTTGCTATTCTTGAATTTGGATCTAATGTTTATTTGCTTAATTTTTCATTGAATGTTAATATTAGTCCAAATTTTTATTGGAAGGACATGCTGCTTAATCGAGGTATTTCAGAGCCTCCTATTTTATTTGCAGGTGTTCATACAGATGGAGATTCTTGCATTTATCCTGGTCGAGGGAAAGAAGTCGATGGTTCTTTCATTCTAAATGAGGTCTTATATCATCTTCATCCTACTCTCTTGGGGTACTTCTACTTTGAAGACTCTCCGGAGGAGAGTTTTTTTCAACCGGAGGAGAATGACAGGGATCGTGTAGGAATTAGATAGATATTCTAGATTAATTATGATAGTTATTTAGATATTTTTAATATTTAACTTTTAAGTAATTTCTTTTAACTTTTAAGGGTTTAGTTGTCATTTTGATTATTTATTTATTTTAGGGTTTGTGATCTCCTTATATATATAGGATTTGTGAATTCCTTATATATAGGGGATACATATTTGTTGAGCGACTAGACTTTGATTATTGATTATTGATTATTGATATTGAATCTTCTTCTTAAAATTCTCTCTCTTTTCTCATCCATTTTTTCTTCTTTTCTCATCCCTAATTCTTCTCTAATACGATCTACATCAACATGTTTACAATATGTACATATTAGAAATTTAGAACCAAATACTCCTATTAGCAAATCGGTCCCCCAAATATCAGATTCATGCAACTCGGAATGTATCAGTCCAATAACTAATTCCCACATGGACCATTGTCATTTTTGAAATTTATAAGGTAGAGTTGCTGATAAAGGCTTACTGCTATTAGTTCAAATCTCCTTTTTCATACTATTGCTATTAAGACGCTAAAGCACCCAGCTAAGTTGTTCCAATTTCAAGTTTAGTCAACTGTAAATGTTTTCTATGTTTTCAATTCAATAAAATCCCATTCCAGCTAATAGCAATAGTCTCAGCAGTTTGTTCATCAAAAATTCCAAGATAAATAAAAAAAAAATTATACCGTTAGATTCAAAGGTCTTTCTGGTTCTGCGCAGAGAAGATCAAAGAGGATTCCTGTTGGTATATACCTGATAGATGTATGTAAAACAATCAAAAGAAAGGGAAGGAAAAGATAAATCCGTCATAAGCTTTCCAAGTGCACCTAATATAGAGCTAACAAAATCTGTTCACTTCACTCACCCCTTCCAACACCCTCAGTTAACAGGGCCAAAACAAGATAGTAATAATGTGTGCATTTCTTTGTCCACTAACCCAATTCAATGGTGTTCAGTAAGAAAAGATACAATTCAACAATAAGCCATTGTTCCTTTAAAGTGATGAGAAAAAAATCCATGCATGTAAATATTACATAACGTGGAAGAATCCCATACCATTTGAGGGGCAAGCCTTTGTATTCAAACCAAACAGTGTCTACCCCAGGAGGAAGTGTACTGCTGAAGAAAGGTTTAATGTGTGGGACTAACAGAGGTAGGTAACCAATCCGAGGAGCTAAAATCTGCATAAATTCAAAAAAAAAAATTACACTAAAAAGTTCAAAAAAAAAAAAAAAAAAAACCTAGATAGGATGTCATGCCTGAGTATCAGCTCTCAGAAGCACACTTAGAGCATAAGGAATAAATGCATGTGGCTACAGCCATGAAAATAACTGACTCTAATTCATTGATCACACTGGCAGAAATATTCTACTGGGTTAGAGCAATTGTTGTTTGATCACTTTCCGGAAAATCACTTCTTTTCACGTTGAAAAGTGATATAACTAAAACATCACTCGGTACTCTTCATTCAAGTACAGTGTAAAGTTGGATCGATACGTGCCCATACCAACATTTATCAAGCCATGCAACTTATTATCAACTGCTAAGTGGACTTGGTACAATTTGACATTCCGAATTATGACCAATGCAGAGAGGCTGATAACATATACTGGTGTGGTATTAAATTAATGCCATGCTATACCTGCATAAAGTAAGTCCACATAGAGTAGTATTATAATGCAAAAGCAAATAATTAAGACCCCTTTTGGGATGCTTAATTCAGAATTCATTCAAGTTAGTTGATTTCACATCACTTTATCTCAGTTTCTTTTTCATGTAGAGTATCTTAAGCTCACACTGGTACCAACCAACCTTCGTAAAAATGTTCACAAACGCTGCCACACAACAAGATGCTTAATCAATAAGATCACTTGTAATAGAGAGAACTCTATAAGTTCCTCTCCCTGTCCACCTATCCTCATGCTTTCCTTCTTGCCAAACAGAAACTCTTCCCATTCCACTCATTTCCCTTCTTCCTAATGCTGGCTTCTACTAAGCGTACCAGTACAAACGAAAATGACTTGCTAGGTAATCACAACTCACAAGACCCAATACTTTCTCATCCAATCCAACTTACCAATTTGAAAAAAAAAAATTACTTCAATGGTATTGATGAGATGAACTAGTTATTCACATAGCCGAACATGGCTTACTAATTCTTTCACTGACTTGATCATTTCCTTTAACTAAATTTTTTTCAATGCTTACTACCCAGGTTCGGTGATATTTTCAACTTGCTTGCTCTCGAATTCACAACACCCACAGCACAAAATACCTGTTTTATTAAAATTGTCCTCTGCAGGAAACTTAAGTTAAATTCTAACAACTACCTAGATTAAAAACCCCATCAATTAGCCAGTTATCCGAATCTTAACAGATCTGACCTCTAGAATCATTGCTTATACTAAATCTTCAGCCTAATATTCACGATTTAGCGCTTTTCGAAACCTAGATTCTACGTTCATCAAGTACTGGTCATGGAGTTCAATCAATCAAATTCAACATGATAAAATGAACAAAAACTGGTGAATGGAAGAATTGTAAGGGATGGAATTGGAGGGGAATGGTACCAGAGCAGGTGGTGGTGGAGGGAGAGTAGTCACTTCGGATTCGTGCAGACGAATCTGCAGCGGAATCCCACCTTCCCACACGTACTTCTGTGCTTCCGTTCCTGTGCCCATCTCCTCCTCTTCCTATACTCTATAGACATGCATACATGGAGCGAGAGGGAGAGGGAGAGGGAGAGGGAGAGGGAGTCGTCTCCGTCGTTCTATCAGAAAGGTTGCACAGCACAGTTCCATGTACTCGTGATCGAATATAAATCATATGCCACAGTGGTTATAGATGTTACTGTTTGAATCGGACTGGGCCTTAAAAATGAGCTGGTCAGCTTAAGGGGCCCATTAGGATCAGCTGGGTACAAGTATAATCCAAGAATTACAAATTTTTAAATAGTATTTTTTTTTTGGGAAAAATTGGAAAGAGGTATACCAAATTAGATTTAATTGTAAANGAGGGAGTCGTCTCCGTTGTTCTATCAGAAAGGTTGCACAGCACAGTTCCGTGTACTCGTGATCGAGTATAAATCATATGCCACAGTGGTTATAGATGTTACTGTTTGAATCGGACTGGGCCTNGTCGTCTCCGTCGTTCTATCAGAAAGGTTGCACAGCACAGTTCCATGTACTCGTGATCGAATATAAATCATATGCCACAGTGGTTATAGATGTTACTGTTTGAATCGGACTGGGCCTTAAAAATGAGCTGGTCAGCTTAAGGGGCCCATTAGGATCAGCTGGGTACAAGTATAATCCAAGAATTACAAATTTTTAAATAGTATTTTTTTTTTGGGAAAAATTGGAAAGAGGTATACCAAATTAGATTTAATTGTAAAAAAATATATAAAAAAAAATATTGAATAATTAAGTCCTTAATTTTGANCCCATTAGGATCAGCTGGGTACAAGTATAATCCAAGAATTACATATTTTTAAATAGTATTTTTTTTTTGGGAAAAATTGGAAAGAGGTATACCAAATTAGATTTAATTGTAAAAAAATATATAAAAAAAATATTGGATAATNAATATTGAATAATTAAGTCCTTAATTTTGATACTTATTTGTATCTAAGTACATTATTTGAATTTTACTGATTTTTTATGATATTTTTGTCTTCCATTAATTCATGTGTATTTAATGCACCACTTTTCTATAAGTAATGCTACATAGACTTAAAAAGTAAATTTAAAAATTAAACTTGATAATCTCAACCATTGAATAGGTAGCGAGTTCTAATAAATGCTGGGACCAACAGTGAAATCAATGGTTGAGATTATCAAGTCTAATTTTTAAGTCTACTTCTTAAGTCCATGTAGCATTACTCTTCCTAAATATCTGTCGTTTAAAGTTTTTGCACAAGGATTAAGAAAGCTATTAAATAGCTCTAATATAAGTAAAAAATAATTGCATAAGACTAAAATATCATTATTCAATACGTATTGAAAAGAAAGGACTATGAAAGATATTTAGCATCCACCTAATCTAATGTATTGAAAAGTTAAGGGTAAATTTGAAAGAAAAAATATTANAAGAAAGGACTATGAAAGATATTTAGCATCCACCTAATCTAATGTATTGAAAAGTTAAGGGTAAATTTGGAAGAAAAAATATTAATTATACTTTGGTTTCATTAAACGACAAATATTATAAAACAAAAAAAATTGTGTAAAACGACTGATATTTAGGAACAGATGAAGTATATATATATATATATACACACACACACACACACACATATATATATATATATATATATATATATATATATATNAATTATACTTTGGTTTCATTAAACGACAAATATTATAGAACAAAAAAAATTGTGTAAAACGACTGATATTTAGAAACAGATGAAGTATATATATATATATATATATATATACACACACACACACACACACACATATATATATATATATATAAATACGTATATATATACTTGTTTGAATTTCAAAATTTATATTCATATATATATAAAAACGTATATGTATATAAATTATATTTTAATGCATATTGATTCATGCGTTATATATATATATATACACACACACTTATATAAATACTTATATATGTATGTATGTATATATTTGTTGTTAAATCTCTTATCTAATTTTGAATTATCTTTTAATGCACTTTGATTCATGCATTTTTTTTTTAAAAGTGGTTTTATTTTTAAATTAATTTAATATCCAAATAGTATAATAGTGTAACAATAAAAGTATAACAGTATAACAATAGCAGTGTAACAACTCATTTACACAANATACACACACACTTATATAAATACTTATAAATGTATGTATGTATATATTTGTTGTTAAATCTCTTATCTAATTTTGAATTATCTTTTAATGCACTTTGATTCATGCATTTTTTTTTAAAAGTGGTTTTATTTTTAAATTAATTTAATATCCGAATAGTATAATAGTGTAACAATAAAAGTATAACAGTATAACAATAGCAGTGTAACAACTCATTTACACAAAATATTGTACTATTACATTTTGTCAAACATATAGTTTCATATAATTTTATTCAAAATAGTCTATCTCCGTTTTGAATTTGTTATCACATACACAAAATTACTGAACACTGTTTTTGTTATAGTGTATTTGTTACACTGTCTTTATTACAATATATTTGTTACACTGTTATTGTTACACTATTACATTATTCGGATATTAAATTAATTTAAAAATAAAACCATTTTTCCAAAAAAAAAAATTATTGAATCAAGGTGCATTAAATATAATTTAAAAACAGAATCACTTTCCAAAAAAAAAATATGCATGAATCAAGGTGAATTAAAGATAATTCAAAATTTAGATAAGAGATTTAGCAACAAGTATATATATATATATATATATATATTTAAATGTATTAATAAATACACATGAATCAAGGTGTCTTAAATACGTATTTATATGTATTCACAAACACACATGAATCAAGGTATATTAAAAATAAGAGATTTTGAATTAAATGACCCAAAAAAGGCATTTATGTATTTTCTAACTCAGCTGTGTACTTTTTTCTAAAACATTTTGTTCTATGTACTTTTTGTCAAATAAGTCAAATTAGGTGTAACGACTTGCAAAGAACCTTTTTTTTTTGGATATATCTTAACCAAGATACGGGTATCTCACAAGTTAAAAATCTATTTGAATCCAAATCCTAGAAATAAAATTAAAGATTATTTAATTTTAAAATAATTCATACACTATTAATTTTAAAAATTAGTAGTAAAAAATATATATTTTTTCTTACAATATCAATTAAATAAATTATTCTAATTTAACACTAATTTGTCTTTTTTGTTATTCTTGATATTGTGTAATTTTCATATTGATATTGGTCCTGTTTGTAGTTGACTAAAAACTTCAATTTTTTTTTAGAGGAAAAGAAATTTGGTCCTTTTGGACCCAGATTTATTGAGCTACTTTTTCATCAGTTTTTTTTAGCAAAAATAGCTTTTATTAACACTAATGAAAAACTGAAAAATAAGACTTATTCAAGAATTTACAATGAAATATTGACTTTTTCGAAAACACTCCAAACGATTCTAAGAATTTTTTTAACTCTAATTTTTTATTTCACTTTTTAAATCTCTATTTCGTACATAAAAAAATTAATTTCAAACGGCCCATTATTTTAAATTTATGTTGTCTTAGTGTCAATGAATAAAATTGACATTCCTACCCTTGTTGAACAAAGGTTTGATTTCCTTCTCTCTCCACCTTTTGGCATTTTGAGCTCTTGAAAAGGAGTAAATATTGAATATAAGGGTGATATTTTGTCATCATTGATGACATTCTATCATCAATTAATAAAAAAACTCCAAATAAAAAAAAGTGAATTTCAAATAAACTTACATGGTAGAAGAGTAAAAAATTATTTGTTTACATGGTAGGCTAGTTATGAATTTTTGTGGAGTTCATCTACTTATTTGTTTTGGTATTATTAGTTGATGATACCACATTACCTTGTCACATGGTATCACTATTGTAATAACTATTTTCTCCTTAAGGAGACAAAGAAATTTGAGATCAAAACGAAAGAAAATAAATTGGGTCATACATTTAATTACTTTTACAATTTAATAGTTATACATACATTTAATTTTTTAATGACTTATTTTTTTGGTTAAAAAGGCATTTCAAAAAACCATTATCCAACAACGCATAATGTTTTTCACTTTTTCATCGTTGAAGTTATTATGAGGAAATCCTTTTTGTAGTTATGAAAGATTTTAAAGTGTATCGATATAAATTAACATTTTATTTTTACAAAGAATTATAGTAGAAGTGTCTTTACAATACACAAGGGTCTTTATATACAATACTAATAAAAAATACCTTAATATAAAACTTTTGATTGACTAATGTGTCCTTATAAAATAGTATAAAGACCATTGTGTCCATTTATAGTTAACTATTCATATCCATTTACAGTTAACTATTCAAATTACTTTTATATTTATATAATAAAGTACAATACAATTCAAATCTCAAATAATAAAAAAAAATAACTTTCTCTTTTCGTGGTTGAGATCTCTTTAAATTTTACTTTAAAATTAATCTGACGACTAATATTAATACTCAAATTTAATAGAAAAAATAGGCATTTAAGGGTGTGTTTGGAGTAACTTTTTTAAAGTTCTTCTAAGACTAACAACATTTCATAAATACTTTTTAAAAAAAATAGTGTTTGAAACTGCACCACCGCCTCACCACCATCACCACCGTCACCCCCACCACAACACCTACCCCTCCCAACCACCACCACTACCAATATCGCCGCCACCACACACCACCACCATTACACCACCATCTCTGCCACCATAATAACCACCACCATCTCTATCACCCCCACCACTACCGCTACCACCCCACTATTATCTCTTCCACAACAATCACCACCACCGTCCCAGAACAACCACCGTTGTCGCCACCACCATTGTCGCCACCCCCACCACCACCATCCCAACTACCACCACTCTCACCATCACCACCGTTGTTGCCACCTTGCCACCACCATCGCTGTCCCACCATCACTATAGCCACCACCATCACTACCATTACCATTACCACTCACTTCTTCCACCATTACAACTGGTCGCCGT